TTTCCTGAGGTCAGATTGCCCAGGATATGAGTGGGCGTTAAGATGTCTGGGAAGGGTTCTCAAAACTCCATAAAAGAGCTGTATAAATTAACTTTTGCATCGGTTGGATGAACTCAATCAAATCAAATTGGACTCAGCTGCAGTAAATAAGTTAATTCCTCAGTTAATTAAGGTGTTCCAACTCAAGTACACTGAGATGGAATAATAGAACTGCATAATGCTAAGATAGCGCAATTAATCATTTGGCAATCCTATCCATGATTGTTTAATGCTCATTCAAATACTTTTTATTTTTTTTAGTTTTGGTTGAAATACAGTAATTACCGTAATTGTCGGGCTATAAGCCGCTACTTTTTGCACAAGCTTTGAACCCTGCGGCTTTTAGTCAGATGCGGCTTTTCTATGGATTGTCCCTGATTTTTGTCATATCGTAAGACGATTTGTTTTGTTTGTTACGCTGTTGTATGGCACTACATTGCCTGGCGGAAGGGCATGTGATCAGACACACAGTATCGGGGTTCAAGAGTGGTATGTTGGTCACGTGTCCATCCGCCAGGCAACATAGTGCTGTACAAGTAGCGCGAAAAACAAACTTCAAAGTAGCGCTAAGCGTTCAGCGGGAGGCGTGGATGACGAGCGGCGATAAACTTGCGAAAAGCAAGTTATGCTCAACTCCACCGGTGGAATCTGACAGTGTGGAAAAGTGTGAAAACATCCACGATCACCAACGGATTTGAAGGGCTGGACTGCTGCATGATGGAGAGGAGGACACCGCCACGGCCCTTCTGAGGCTCTTCGACTCTGACACTGACAACGAGGATTTGTTTGGTTTTGAAAGTGACAACGAAGGAAAGAAGCTGAGAGTGGATGATGAAGCCATCCTGAGCCTGTTTGTTTCCGACACTGGAGAAGAGGACTTTGGTGGTTTTAGTGCGCAGGCAGAAGAGTGGTGGTGAATGACTGACTTTTCTTCTTGTTAAAGCCGTGTCACTGCACCTGAGCCTAAAAGGTAGGCTGAATCTATTTTTCTGGTGTGCTGTAGGTTACTGTTATGTACTACATTTGTTACTCATTTATGAATGTGTTCTACTTGTAATTACCGCTACTTGTACATATACCTAAAAAGTTATGCAAATATGTACCCATAACTTGTTTTTCAAAATATTAATAAAAGAGGTGTGTCTCCAAACAGCCATCTCTTTCCTGACAATTCGCTTTGTGCATATTCTCTTACATATGAAAAGTCAACATTGAAACACCTGCGGCTTTTAGTCAGGTGCGGCTAATGTATGTACAAAACAGGATTTTCCCCTGATTTTAGCTTGTGCGGCTAATATTCAGGTGCACTTTGTAGTCCGGGAAATACGGTAATTGATTTTATTTATTTATTTATTTTAAGATTTCAAGCTCCAACCTAGCAAACACATGCTCATGGAGCCCATGTGGGGACACTGTGCAGACTCACAAACCATAGGTGTGGCCTCTGTAGCTGACGGTCTGATCTTCGTTACCTTGAAACTCTGGCTTTGTGTTGAATAATTATGTCTTTTACCTTTAACCATAGTACGACACATTGTTGTTATTGTCATCCAAAGACCTCTTGGTTTACTCATGTCAGCTTTCCTTGAGCCCCAAGTTTTTCTTCCTCATTCCCATGCCAAACATGCCTTATTGTGTTCCTCTTTTGGGCTCATTTCTCATTTAGGGCTTTTATTGCATCATTATTTGGGAGTTGTGCTTTGTTGATAGGTGGAAATCAATCCTCTGTTTCCCCACATTTTCCATATTTCATTGAGGTGTCTTTCCAATTATGTCTGTATCTTCGTCTCTTTTCTCCTTCCAACATCTTGTTCTTCACAAAGTTCTTGAGCTGTCTTATATTTCTGGGAGGTCCTGGTTCTTCTTTGAGAAATCTTAGTTGTTATTTAATTTCCTTTTCTGTTTCATTGTTCTATTAAATTTGTTCTATATAATTAGACCTTATTGATGTTGTTTCTTATGTATTCATTTCCTGCTTTTATTTTGTTGTTATTTATTTCAGCTTCATTTGTAATTCAATATTATTATTGTCAATTCCTTTCTTATAGTACTTAAAATTTTTCAATTGTCTCTTTTACTGTATGTTTTGTAATTACTCTGGTCTTTGTTAATCAGTTTTTCTTTTCTCTTTCTAAAAAAAAGAGTTATTAATTATTATTTTAATTTTAAGTTATTTATTTGTTTTTTATTAATGGTTCTTATTTTATTTCATTTTCATTCTATTTTTCACTTCTACCTGTGTCCACCAGGGATGATGCTTGACCTCCCTCTGTCAGATGGAGCCAGATGGCGCTTTATCTCAATCCTACCACTAGATGGCACTAACTCACTCTTTTCTTTAAAAAATTGTAGTACCCTCTTTTGCACACACGGTGTGGCACTCTATTGAATAGACATGTGGTAACTACTCATGTAAGCAGTTGTTACCTGTTATATAGTGCTGTTTTTGGAGTAATAAGGAAAACACTGCATCAACAAAATTAATTAACAATTCCTTGCTTTGTTTCTCATTCAGTCTGCGGCATGCTCATTTTTGTGTGCAATATTGTTAATGTGAAATGTATTTATTTTTCATAATTCCTTCTTTTTCTTTTTTCTTTTCTTTTTTTCATAATTTTATCAATTATGCACTTATTCCTCTCTTCTCCAAACTCAAGCAGCTACTGGGAAAGCGTGGTTAGAGTAATGGCTATGAACTCGTAGATAGGGACCTAATTAATTCAACAAGCTATAAAATTTGACTAAACATGGACACACTAAATTTTCATTTTTAGGAGTGCCCTGACCTGCTTATTTGAAAAAAATGTATCTATATTACCAAATGTGACACTGTTTTGATAGTTTTTTTTCCCCCCTTTGCTCTTTTGCTCTAAACACTACTGGAACAATGTCCTTTGGACAACAAAGACCAAAGTGAATAGGTTATTACATGCCCAGTGCCAACCAAACACAGCATAACAGCAAAAACATCTCATACTAGCTTTTAAGAATGGTGATGATTTAGACTTGTTTTGCAGCCACATGACCTGGGCATCTTCAAGTTATAAACTCCTCATACCAAAGTTTTCTAGAGGTAAATATATGGCCTTCTGTTCAACAAATTCAAAGTAATGCAACAGGACATTTAACCCAAGCACACCTGAAAATCTACACCAGAATGACTAAAAAAGAGATGGAGTTGCCATTGTCCAGTCAAAGTCCAAACCTCATCCTGATGGAAATTCAGAAACGGGACATTGCAAGACCTGTGCACAAATTACCACAAACTTCAATGAACTGAGGCGATATAGTACAGAAGACTGAGCCAAATTGTTCCGCAACAACATGAAAGACATGAAAGTAATTTGAACTAATAATTTTCTGTATGATTTTTTTAGCAATCTATTGCTGATAAAAGTCCTCCTTTAAGTTATCAAATGGGTTGTACTTAGATTTTCACACATTTTTTCTGGATTTGAACCCTATTTTTGTCAACTAATAACATGATATCTAATTTTACCCCATCCTAAAGACCAGATTATATGTTTCATATGTTAGGCTATGCCCTCTCTATTTTTGGTAATTCCATGCCTTTGGACCCATGTCACCTCTACTGCGGCCCGCATGATGATGAGAATAATTTAAAAAAGAATAAAAAATTTAATATGAAGGCAATATGTAGAGTGTTACACGCATAGCCCTAAAGAATGTAGCCTCATGGGCAGTGTAGTCTGTGCTGCAGGGAGAATGAACTGCCAAGTCAAGTAAACTACTAATACTTGACTGTACACTGTGTTCGTATTTTCCTCCGATACAATAAGTTCCGTTGGAGCAGACTTTCAACGCCTCTCTCTGTCTCTTGCTAGCAAAGTTTTCGGTTACAATCCCAACATGAACCCAACGTATTAGCCAGAGGTCCCTTTACGGTTCGGAGTCGCGGACCTGTTTTATATAAGCGCAGAATATATACGAGATCGCTGCAAAAAAAATGCAGCCTTACCTAATGTCCACATTTTATATTAAGATTTAAAAATCTAGTTGGTGTTGGTATGACGAGTAGCCTTCAGTAATATTAATAATTCACACAGCAATGGTACATTCATGTAGTTGTACAAAGCATGATAATATATTAAGCAATCCAAAGTATTCCGAATACATTACAAAATACATTTTGGGACATGTATCCTGTATTCTGTAGTGGAATACATTTTAAAAGTAGTCTTCTCAACATTGAGTATATATATATATACACTCAACAAAAATATAAACGCAACACCTTTGTTACTGCTCCCATTCCCCATGGGATGGACGTAGAGACCTAAAATTCATTCCAGATACACAATATAACCATCCCTCCCAAACAGTGGTCACAAATCAGTCCAAATGTGTGGTAGTGGGCACATCTGCTATATTGAGATAATCCATCCCACCTCACAGGTGTGCCACATCAGGATGCTGATCTGACATCATGAGTAGTGCACAGGTGTACTTCAGACTGCCCACTTGACCTGTTGAACTTAGGGAGAGGTCAGAGGTCAAACTTTTAAGGCTTTTTGTCAATTTTCCACTAACGAGTTATAAAGTTGACCTTGAAGACCTCGGTAGATGTAAGCTAGATTTTAATGGATTGTTATAACATGATCCTGCTCTACACCCTACAGAGTTTTATCAGAATACATTCAAAACTTTAGAGCTGTTGTGTTTACAGACAGAATGAAATGTAAATGCTACCAAAAACATGACCTTTTTGTTGAAGGTAATAAGAAACTCCTGAAACCATTTTGAACTCCTCTTTGGTTTACATGTGATCTGATGCAGTTTGCAATCAAGGTCAACTGTCCGTGTGTTCATCATGCTCAGTGTTTAGCTGATAAATACCAAGTGTGTAAGGCAATGAACGTTAGAAACTGATCTGACCGGAGTGTCTGGTTTGCAGTGACTCGTTAATCATTGCCTCAGCTTTTGTTTCCTGCTCGGCTCCAGCAACTTGTTTCACTTTGACAGTTTGGATCAGTGTCGGAGTCTGGGTCTTTTCCTGTGGTAAGTCTTTGCCTTTATTTGTTTCTTTGATTTCTTTATTGTTTGTTTTGTTTTTCTTTAGTTTTTAGTCAGAGAACAAACAAAAAAGAACCTACTTCTACATCTTCCTGAATTAACTCTGAATTAAGTCAGACTGTTGTTTCTTTGTCAAACTGTGAGCACATACAAGATGAAAAAATGTCTGTCAGTTGTTAAAAGCTCCCACAAAGCTCCAAATGTAGCAGCAAAGTGTGAGAAAAGCTGTATTTATGTTTATAACGAACTGTTCTTGGAGTCGTGCAGAGACCTGCACTCAAAGCAGGACTTTGTCTATCGAGGTGACTTAAAAGAAACTCTGAGCTTTCAGTTTTAGTCATGTGCTTAAGTTACACTGATACTGGGCAAGTTAATTTTAAACTAAAAGATCATAGTCTAAGCTGATCTGTGTTCCTGGTGAGTGTTTGAAGGGTCACCTCCAGCCTTGGCTGAGTCTTTGTGCTTTTCTTTAACGTATTTGCCAAATAGAGATAAAACACAGAGCTGACTCACTGCAGCAACAGGTTTCTCAGATTTTCTTACTGTCATGACAGCCACATACCCACAAACTGCTGCTGAGTGGGTGGAGTCAACTCACATGAATTGTTTTGGTTTCTTCTTTGAAAATGACTGTTTGATACAAACTCTGGAGCCCAGCTGTCTGAAACAACTGAATATGAAGCACATTTTCTGGAATTCTTATACTTAGACTTATAGCAAAACCACTCACTGAGTTTGCAAAACTAAAAGCACAAAAACTGCTTTGCACTCAGTTTGCAATTTTGTAACACACACTTTGCAAAACTGTAGGCACAATTCACTGCACAACACTCAATTACCAAATTTCCAACACACTCCTAGCAAAAGTATACACATGTATGGCTATCATTAACACTAATTTGCCAACTGTCTGGCACACTTTCACATGTCAAAACTTTTTTAGATAATTAGTTCACTTTGCAATCAGCCTAAGCACTATAATACAGGTAAGCTCTGTGTGCGGAGTACAATGGAGGGAGCAGGAAGAGTGAGAAGTAGAGGAGGCCGAGGAAGAGGACGTGGAGGTGAAGAAGTAGGATGAAGAGGACGACAAGGACAAGGAGGAGCAAGAGGAAGACGAGGAGGGGGGAGAGGAAGATGAGGAGGGGGGAGAGGAAGGGTAAGAAGAGTAAGAAATAGGATTGCTGATGACATCAGAGCTACAATAGTGGACCATGTAATCAACCGTGGAATGACCCTGAGGGTAGCTGGCCAACGGGTCCAGCCTAACTCGAGCCGCTACACTGTAGCAAGCACCATAAGGACATCTTGAAATGAGAATCGGTTAGTACAGTCACTTTGCACAACGATTTGTAGCACTGCCATATGCCAATGAGAAACACACCAATACCATTGATGTAAAAATACTGAAATTGTTACTTTACAGAATTGCTATATGACCAGATGCTGGGGCAGAGGAAGCATGTTCACTGCAGACCAAGTAACCCATATAGTCATTATGGCGATTGCAAATAATCCTATACTTGGAAATAAACACTTGTGTTTGTTTTGATGTGTTTGAATAAACACCAGTACTTGAAGTTTGGATCCCTCTATGCTTATGGATCTATGACAGAAGTATGAGCTCAAACTGACATAGCCTACCTTGTGCACAGAGAAAGCAAAAGCCAGATGTGTTTTGTATTCATACCATCAGTGTGCAGTTGGTGCATTGTGTGCTTAGTAGATGATGGCTTGTGTGTACTGTTTGATACGGAAACACCATTTTTACGAAGGTGTGAAGAGTTAATCTAGCTGTGTTCGCTTTTGCAAGAGAACTACAATGTTTTGATGATTGGGTGACAGGTTTTTTTATTTGTGTGTAGAGTTTTGCAAAATTAGCCAATAGTTACAAAAAATGTGCTTAAGCAATCAGAAAAAAACTGTAAGTTGGAATAACAGAATAACATAATCCTAAAATAAAGCATTTTAATTTGGCAGTTCTCTACAGGATTGTTTTCTGTTCAATATTTATTTTTTGAGTGTTAGTCGAAATAAATAAATAAATTAACAAAAGTAAAGGCTTTTTTAAGCTCATACCCAGCAAATGTGAACACATGGTACAATGAACCATGGTACATATAAAATTTGACCCGACACACTGATATGTTTTTATCACTGTAAAGCGTTTATTGACGTGACCCACACCTCCCTGCAGCTGAGCCAGGGACCACACCTCCACAGTACATTACTGCCACTAACTGGTGTGTAGTATGGAGTAGAACATTGCTCTATATTCCACTGAGAACTGTGGAGATGTGTGGGGAGGGCAAACTTATATCTAGCGGGCCCCAAGTTGTAATGAAGTGTAATGGAAGTGTTGAGGGGCAGAACTACCATGGGGCCATGGACTAACCCTCAGGGAGAACAAAGAGGATTTTCTCTGAGTAATCTGTCCATTTGGTAAACCAAATGGACAACACTGTCCGAGCTTTCTTTCTTTTACTTTGTTTTTTACAGTTTAACTCTTACTTTCACATTTCTATAAGATTGTAAGAGATTTATCAGCAAATCTGCTCCCTGCAGCAAAAATACAGCAAACAACTACAAACTCTTTATGAGCTTTATAAGATAACAAAGAAACAGTCCTCACTAACACTGTTTTTTTATTGCCGCTGCAGTGTTTCTGAAATTTATGTGTTACTTAGTAACAGCCTCAAAGTTCACCTACACAAAGACAGTGAAAGTGAAACTATCACTGATCATTTGTACTTGTTTTTCTTTCACAGTAATTCAGTGAGTTGCAGAGAGAGAGCACAGTCAACAGGTGCGTTGTCTTCTAAATTTAATGTTTTATTAATGGGACATGTAGTTTCTGTCTAAAAAACTGTTAAAACCGTTAGAGTCAAACTTGGTTTGAAGAATATAGTCCAAGTGTGAGTTGTTCTGAAGCTTTCATGTAGGTCAGGTCATCTATAAACCAGATGTATCTGTAACTTTACAATAGGTGAAAGTACTGTAATTGCATAAGGCAGATAGGATGATCTACACTCAGTGAAGTACTGCTACAAAGAAAAGCATGATTTATGTAGATATGCAAGTTAGATGACAGAGCCCAGGAATTCATTTAGTCCTAATTGTACAACTTATGTTACTGAAACACAAAACAGAATTGTCCAGTCAGCAGTGGTTTCCATTGTATTAATGTTATCTGTCTGTTTTCAGAGCTGCAGGATGGCTCATCAGCAGGATGGACTGTTTCCTCAACCACTGCTCAAAGCTTTCAGTGTTCTGATCTTCCACATTCTCCTAAAGGATGTCTGTAATGGTAATTCATGCATAAATAAATATTGTTGTGGTTTTTTGTCATATTTGAAGCACACATTTTAATTATTTATATTTGTGCTTGAAACATGCCTTCATTGAGATCCATGTTTAATAAGTCACACTGGCAGGATACAGAACAGCTTTTCAGTTTCTGTCAGCAGAGGGATTTGAATAGGATAGGTATACAGTATTATACATCAACATACACTGTACTCTGACACCAACATAATCTTAATAGTTTTAGAATCAGAGAATATGCTTGTTAGAGACATGGCTGACTGCACAGCTACATCTTGCAGGGAATTGCTGAAAAAATTTTAGCCCATTACAAATTCATAGTGATTGTGATATTTAGAATCAATTCATGCTCTTCGCTCATCTGCCATAATCCACTGGCAGAGGCCATGTGATGCTGTTGGCCTCTGCTAGCACCAATTTAGTGTAGACATAAATACATGACAGGTTGAGGTGAATTGCCTCTTAAAGGGAAATAACAACTTGGGGTGAACATAAAAGTTTACAGTTTAGATACATCGAGTCTCCACATCACACCCTTAGGTTCAGTAATTTAAAAAAATATTGTGAGATAATGCTAAAAACAATCCCTTCTGGCCATTTCTTATTTAAGAATTATGATTACTTGTTTTCAGGTCAGCCTCAGTTGATTGGTCCATCTCAGGCACTGGTGGCAAGAGCTGGTGATGATGTAATTTTGCCATGTCATCTGGAACCTGCATACGATGTTTCTACAAAGACACTGGAGTGGACAAGATCTTCGCTTGACCCTAGATTTGTCTATGTTTCACGTGCCAGTCAGGAACTCGAAAAATTAAAAAATCCTTCTTTCAAAGGAAGGACGTCATTGTTTGTTGATGAACTCAAGTATGGAAATATTTCACTGAAAATATCCAAAGTGAAATTTGCCGATACAGGGACATACAAATGCTTTATTCCAGATTTGGAAAAAGAAGCTTTAGTCAAGCTAGTTGTTGGTAAGTAGCTTCATGTTGATGGTCTTGCATTGTACAGTCTTGTCCCTGGGATCATTTGAAAGTTCTTTGTTCTTGCCCATGGTGATGGAGAGGTTGAATTGGAAGAAATTGATTCTGTAACATTTTTTCTGGGCTTTTGGTTGATGGTCTTTTTTCCTTGTTTAAAATTAAGACATGACAAAAAAAATTGAGACATTTCATTTCTTTGTAAGTGACCAAACTTAGAAATTCAGAACTCTATTAGCTTTACTGGTACACAAGTATATTTTTGAATCTTATAATATCATTAATGCCCCTTGACTTTTAAATTTCATGTTTTCTTTTGCTCAGCATCAGATGCTGCCACCTCACCTATCATCAGTTTCTCAGGGATTGACAAAAACAGAGGGGGAGTGGTGTTACAGTGTGAATCTGCAGGCTGGTATCCAGAGCCTGAGCTGCTGTGGTTGGACGGTGAGGGAAACCTCCTCTCTGCTGGACCTACAGAGACCCTCAGAGGTCCTGATGACCTCTATACTGTCAGCAGCACAGTGACTGTGGAGAAGAGACACAGCAACAACATCACCTGCAGAGTCCAACAGAGGAACACCAACCAGAGCAGAGAGACACACATACATGTTCCAGGTTCAAATTAAATTATTACATTTATCAGTGGCGGTCCTAGCCTGTTTGGTGCCCGGGGCGAGCACTCCCTCGCTCCCTCCCTGAGACTTTAAATCATCAAGCTGTATATTATGCGCTGGCATGACATCGGGGCAGCATGAGTACGAGAATTTTTTTTTTTTGCCGATGCCCGTGATGCCGCCCCCCACTATGATGCCACCCCGGGCAACCGCCCGTATCCAAAACCGCTACTGACATTTATGATAGAAACACTTTTTGAACATCTGAATTCCAGAATTCTAGAAATGTGTTTTGTTTTTTACTATTTCAGAGGATTTCTTTGAGATCCCGTCCAGTTCTTCAGCTGTCATCATCGGTTTGGCTGTTAGTTTGGCTCTTTGCATCATGCTGTTAATTTTATCAGTTGTTTTTCTTGTACGTAGAAAGAGAAAACACCTGATGAGTAAGTCACTGATTAATTATTATTTTTCACTACTATAAATCAATGTTTTCATTGAGACTCTGATGAGAGGTTTAATATTTTAATCCAAGTTTGGGCATTTCCTTCTTATTTAATTTTAATTTCAAAAAGAGAACAACAGAAGGCCAAAGGATCAGACTGACTCAGTAGATGATAAAGGTTCCTCTGAAAAGAAAGCCAGAGAGACAGAGCTACTCAATCCCAGCAGTTCTTCTACCACAACTGAGAAGCAGACTTCATGCGTGAGTAGATAAACACAAATAAGTTAAATATAAAAATGTTTACTGTTTTTCAAAAATTAAATTAAATACTTCTCAGGATTTCACAATAAAACTACCTGAAATAATGCTCAACAGAAAAAGAAAAAAACTGCACACGGTTACCACACAGACATTATGTACATTATGTGCCTTATGTGCATTTACTAGAGTGAGTAGAAAGAGTTCTCTTTTGATATTAAAGGAATGAAGCAGAAATAATGTGAAAACAGTGTGTTTTCATTTATCATTATCAGATTACTACTTCAGTAATGTCACCACAGTCTCTGTTTTAGTAAAATGTTGCTACTGATGAAGTTATTTTATATAATGTCAGGGGTTTAGACATTTGTTCACAAGTAAGAGAAATAAGACACTGCAGACCGACTCAGAGAGTTTTAAGACATGTGCATGGGTGTGTGCCTCTCAGCAAAATCACACACACTCAAGCGCAGGCTGGTTGCTTTATTTATAGGGTAAGAAACTGATTACATAGTACTTCCTCTTTTAAGTTACAGGAGGAGAGGTCAGGCATTATCTCAACCTGTCTGACCTTTCAGACTGGGGTAAAGAATACAGAAGTTTATCATGCTTATCTGACATCACAGATACTAAAAAAGAATACATTGCGTTTGTGTTAACAAATAGACTCAGTTATGTGAAACTATATGAACACTTGAAAGTAAAACACACTTGGTTATATTGTATTTGAATATAAAGCACATTTGATTTTACTTGATCATATTGCATAATAAAAACCCTCTATCATATAATCAAGCTTTTCCTGGACTTTGGTTGATGACAACACACATCACCAACAAAGACAATAGGCGTGCTCATTAATTAAAAAAAAACATATTGAAAAATACAACCCACAAATGACAAACAAGTTTTTCTATCGCATCATTGTGTTTTATCTCATATGTGCAGATTTATTGATTGTGGCTTTAATCAGTGTTGTGCTCATGCTTTAATTCCCGTTACACTTTAAAGTAATGTGTTACATTATTTATTACCTGGAGTAAGTAATCCATTACACTGTGTTGTATTAGTTTTGTGTTACTCCATAACAAATGCCGAAATGCACCTTCACATAATTACCATTGATAATATAAACATTAAGAGTACAATCTCACAGACTGACACAAATCTTCATCCTAATGACACCAGTGGTGACAAGGTCCAGACATTCTGTCCTTAAGTAGAAATACAAACACTAGAGTTTAAACATACTCAGTAAAAGTTGAACAACTGATTCAATTTCTTTACAAGTAAAAACTCTGAAATGTACTCAGAGTAAGAAAGTAAAAGTAGCTCTTTGGACGTTTCTACCAGCTATTTTTGTGCAAAGCTAACTAATAATGATAATAATAATAATAATATCAGTAAATGGGAATACAAACATTAATTCACTGTAAATTTTAATTCTAATAAATGTAATTAGCTTGAATTACTTAAGTAGAGATTGAGCGACATTGTAGAGGGTTTGACTTTTACTCTGAACAGAAGATGAGCAATAAATAAGTTAAAGTGGGATTTCTCCATCTCCGAGTGAAGTTAGCTCTTTCTTTTCAGTGTCTGTGAAATACAGCAGCATTTCTAATCGTCTTCGGTAAGAAATAGTTCTGTTTGTGGTTTCATGCTCATGTAGTAACTTTATGAAGCTGGAAACCTGCAGTCAGCTGAGACTGAAGACGTCACTTGGTTGAGTCACGAAACGTTTCTCCCACTGAAAACGTCCAGATGAACAGGGTGTTGATGGTTGAGCTGACAGAAATATCTCATTTGAAATTACCTGGCTCGATGCTGAAGTACCGCAATATAGACAAAAAGTAAAAAAACGTTAACTCCTGAGTATGATACTCAGTTTTGCCTCTGGTATCTATTTCATCTCATTTTATGCAAAATCTCCATGTCATTAATAAACAAACAGCATTGCCTTTCATATGTTAGCGCTTATGCTCAAAGCAATTTGATGTTTGAAGTGACCTGAAATAATAACTCAGTTTTGTTAAACCAAAAGTAATAATGAGCCCGTTTTGTGTGACAAAGTCAAGTGCAAAAGCTAAAGTAAACTTAAAAAGTTCTCAGAAAAATAAATACTCAAGTAAAGTACAGATACCTGAAAATTCTACTGAAGTACAGTAACAAGTATTTGTACTTTGTTTGTCTGCCATCTCTCAGTTGCCAATAACTTCAAAGAGGAAACTCCTGAAGGAACAAGGGAGGAGGGAGGAAGCTGAAAAGAACCTACAGAACATTAAAGAAAAGGTTCGTATTTGTTATTTGTTATTTATTTGTCATGTGTCTTTGTGTTCCTATTAAATGTCTCTTTATCTCTGTATTGTAAAGAGTTATGAAAGAGATTATTTTGTTTATTTGTTAACAAATGTCTGAAACAGGAACTTTTTCTATACATTGAACAAAATTATAATTCATGTTGACATTCAAAGAAAGTACTGACTTGCAGAAATGTAGCAACTTTCTCTGATGATGTTATGGACTCTGCTGAGACATCTGTGCTCGACTTCCTGGATGGATGGAAGAGAAGTCCTGATGATCTTCTCTGCAGTGATTTCGTCTCTGAGGCCTTGAAGCTGTCAAACCAGCTGCTCAGCACACTTTTGATGCTGCCTCAGTAGGAAGTGGAGATGATGGAGGAGAAAACTGTGCTCTCCTCATCCAAAATGCAAAGTGCAGAGACTGCCGAGACTGTTTAACCAGTGCTGTTTAATGACCATTCCAGGCTGTCAGTTATCTAAACCGTGAAACATGGCACAGTTGCATGGTGGTTAGCACCATTTCCAAGAAGCAAGAAAGTCTTGTGTTCAAATTCACCATCTGGCTGGGATTTGCATGTTCTCCCCGTGTCTGCACGGGTTCTGTCCAGATAATCTGGCTTCCTACCACAGTCCAAAGACTTGCAGTTAGGGAGGTTAGGTTTACAGATTACTCTGAATTGCTCATATATGTGAATGGTTGTTCTCCTCTGTGTTTATTGAGGAGTAATAGGTGAGGGGTGGTGTAGGTTCAACAGCTAACAAGATGGTGTGTCGGTCAGAACACAGGAAGGAGGACAAGAGGTTTCCACTTTGCTGAACTGTCACAGTCAGCTGGTTTATCGTCACTTCAATGCTCAATGTTGCCAATAGTCTGTAGTAAATAATAAGTTGCCGTTTGACCAAATATATTACAGCAACACTGGTTCAACTAATATAAACTCAAAATATAAAGTAAGATAAAGTTACATGGTTAATTCAATTCAATTCTTTATTTATTTGTCACATGTAGTTATAGCTGGTACAACATACAGTGAAATATTTTTTCTGGCTAAAAAAGTACTCCCCCCGACTGTGCAAACATGCTAAAAAGGATTTTACATAAGCTAAGAAAAAAGGAAAAGAAACAAAAGTTAAAAGTAAAAAAATATATAAAAAACAATGTAAAAGTCCATATGTTTGTGCTTATAAATATATATCCATGACGTGCAAGATATTGCACTGTAATGATTTGAATGAGAAGACTATAAAAATATACATATTTACATAGTACAGATGTATATAATAAGGTACGGATAAGGTTCAGAGAAGAAAGATAAAGTGCAAATTATGTACTGTGTGTGAGATTGTCCATCATGTTGTCCGGTTTGTGTTTTGGTTGAGGAGTCTCACAGTTTGTGGGTAAAAACTCCTCCTGAACCTTTCTGTTCTTGTTTCAGGCTACAGAGGCGCTTCCCTGACCTCAGTGGCCTGAACAGTTTGTGGGCGGGATGGCTAGAATCCCTAATGATCCTGATGGCCCTGGATCTGCACCTTTCAGCATAGATGTCCTGCAGTGCTGGTAGAGATGTTCCCATAGTGCGTTCAGCTGTGCGCACAACCCTCTGCAGGGCTTTCTGTTGCTGTACTGTGCAGTTCCCGTACCACACCATGATGTTGTTGCACAGGATGCTCTCAATGACACCAGTGTAGAATCTCCTCTGTATATTCTTGGAGATCTTAAACCTCTTTAGACGCCTCAGGTGATAGAGGCGCTGTCTGCCATTA